TGGGCCTAAAGGTGCCTTTGGGGAGGGAGGGGCCAGATAAGGAGCAAGACCTTTGCTGAGTGGGGATTGTAGGGAGGGGGACCTTTCATAAAAGCCTGGTGGGAGAGGCCTACTGGACAACCTTGTGAAATACAGCCATTAAAAAAAAAAAAAAAAATCTGGGACTTTCCTAGCAATAATGCAGGAAGCCAGGATCACAGGGATGAAGTAGGAGCCTGCAGTTTAGGAAGGACTTCTTGTGAACAACTTCAGGATAGAACAGTAATGTGAGAGAGTGGCAAATGACACCCCTGTGTAATCTGATATATAAAAATACTAAAATGTGTCTACATAACACGTGGAGAAATAACACAAGAAACCTTAAATGGGAGCGATGTGGACACTACCAACAGTATTTCTTAAGCAGCATATCCAAGTCACTTTGGTCTCCATTTCCTTTGCTTTGGAAATGCAGCCTATCCTAAAACATTTATCTAAAACACTATGGAGTAATCTAACACTTATGGGAGCCAGAAAGACAGGGCCACAGAGGTGAGTTACTTATCTTCTCAAATATTGACTGTCCGATTTTAAGCAAGACAACTTGCTCTGTGTGATCTGTCAGCTGACAAACTGCAAGTCATGTTGTTTTTGTTATCGGTTGTTTTTTGTTATTGTTTGTTTTTTTGTGTGGGTTTTGTGTGTGTGTGTGTTTGCAAGTCATGGTTTTGAGGGACTCATTTGTATTTAGATGTCTAACATCAGCCAACAGCATTTACTATGTGTTGGCCTCTTTCTTAGGCATTCACAATAGTGAATGACAGAAGATGCCTGCCCTTTGAGAATTTACAGACCAGAAAGGAAGAGGGATTAGTAAACACAGTAGATCTAGTATGTCTGATCAGTACCAGGGCGAGGACAAGGGGAAGCAGAATATTGTAGACACACAAGTCCAGAGAGTCAGGGAAATCTTCTTGGAGGATAAGCAGATATTAGCTAAGAAAAAAAAAGGGGGGCGATATTCCAGGCAGCGGGAATAACATATCCAATGAATAGCATAAAAGCCTAATTAAGTGTTCTCTTTTTGATGAGTTCCCAAACACTGAAATGCAAAAGGTGACATTTAGTGACTTAAAATTTATTCACTTAAAAAGACCATGCTTTATTTTCTGATATGGATACCTTTCTTACTTTAAAATGTCATCTTTGCCTCGAAATGATAGTGACAGCAGATGATAATGTAATTCTTTAAATAACATCTTTGACAAAATAAGATTTTCAAACTTGTGTTGATTCCTAAATTTTACTAGTCTATGAAATAGAGAAAGAAGTTCATTCCCTCACCCTATATAAAATTTTCTTTTTTTATCTTTCCGTTTTTTGGTTAACACAATTACTCAAAAAGTCTACAGGGAGCTGTGATTTGTTAGTCCAGAGCAAACTGTTCAGGTAACAACTGAACTAAGGGATGGGAATATAATCCAGCCCTTTGAGGATTCTAGTTGCCTGATAGTTTCCTCTATAGAAAGTACCTTCTGAACTCTAAGCACTCCAAAGATGTGACATTTGTCACTTACAGATTTATTTTGAAATCCAGGTTCTTGGATTGTTTTGACATATTCCTTAAGGTTTTTTTTTTTTAAATAGTGCTTTGATTGAAAATTTTATAGGTTTTAGAAATTAATTTGATAATTATATATATTGTCACAGGCAATTTAATATACCTATCTATCTATCTAAGGACTTCCCTGGTGGCTCAGAGAGTGAAGAATCTGTCTGCAATGTGGGAGACCCAGGTTTGATCCCTGGGTGGGGAAGAGTCCCTGGAGAAGGGAATGGCAACCCACTCCAGTATTCTTGCCTGGAGAATTCCATGGATAGAAGCTACAGGCCATGGTGTCGCAGAGTCAGACATGACTGAGTGACACTTTCCGAAGGCAGGAGGTGAAAGAACAGCTCTCACTCCTTGCCCCACTCGCCAGATTTTCTATCTATGTATGTGGCTTCCCTGGTACTCAGATAGTAAAGAATCCGCCTGCAAAGTGGGAGACCTGGGTTCGATCCCCAGGTTGGGAAGATCCCCTGGAGGAGGACATAGCAGCCCATTCCAGTATTCTTGACTGGGAAATCCCAAGGACTGAAAGAGCCTGCCAGTCAATGGGGTCAAAAACAGTCAGACCCGGCTGAGCAACTAAACAACAAAGTTATTCCACTTAGTCCTCATACCTTTCCATTTTTTGGAGATTACGATGCAGAGAAGTTAAATAACTTGCCTAAGGACACAGAATGAAGAGTTGGGTTTGTAAGTAGTTGGGAGTGCCCAGTAGTTGAGCATATTAATAAGATGAGAAAGTCCTTTACAAATTCAAAAATGTCGAGAAATACCTCCTAGGTTCTTGGATGGGAACAGCCTTACCAAACTTCTGGAAAAATATTACTAAACATATATATGTCCAGATTTGAAAACCATTAGCTATTAACCTTGTCCACTATCTAAAGCTTGCATTTAGGACCAATATTTACCTCCTTTTTTCCCCTCCTGAGTACTCCCTAGATCACCCTAGTGTAAAAGAGTAATTTCTTAAATCCATTTATCTCTTAAAGGAATGATTTAAAGTGGGAAACACACACATACAATAGAAAACAGTGGGAGGAAAACCCCTTCAAGAATATGTGAGTTCAACTTTCTGTTAACTCTATTCTACTGATTTTAAGAAGCATTCAGAAAGGGTCCAGCTGCTGTCTGGGAAGGCAGTTAAAAGTAGTGGCCATTTCATAATGTATGCAAATGTTAAATCATTATGTAGTACACTTGAAAGTAACATGACATTGTACATCAAATACATTTCAATGAAAGAAAAAAAAAGTAGTGGAGAAAACATGGGCTGGGAGACAGGAATGAATTCGGATCCTAATATTTTGTTAATTTCATTATTTCTATTTTGTAGATGAGTCAGTTTAAGCTCAAAATTTTTGAAGGAGAAAAACTCACCTGATTTCTAATCTAATGCTCGAATGACTTGATGGTGTAAGGGAAATGAACAGAGCAGATGAGTAAGAGAGGTGGGGGTTAGAAGGATATCAGAAAATCTAGATCTAGGACTATGGTAATTTTAAGGATTTACTTGTTTCCCTATCTCCATTTTGAGTAGTGCAAGAGGTTTCACATCCCTAGGGAAGTAATTACCATGACATTTACTTTTAAGCACAGTTCTATCTGTAGAGTCCTAGAAGGAAACGAATATATCTATTTACCATTATTTTTGATGCACTGATGCATTTATTCAAAGAAAACACTTTCATGTCAATGCTTTTAAATAATTCAGTTTTACTATCTTTTCAAGTATTTATTTCACATATAACTACCTATAATTATTGTGTATAAATGAAAAAATAACCTAGAAGCTATTCTTTCAAGCCCAGTTTTACATATTTCATTCAAACAATTTTTTTTTCTCCTACTGCTTTATGGTGAATTGTACTTTTCCCTTCATTTCTATACCCTTTGGCTCAGTAGTGTTTTGCAATATTGATGACCAGCTAAGCTCAGGATATTTATTTCCATCTGGTAGAGTTCAACTTCTGCCTCTTGTTTGCTTTCTCCATCTGCCCAGCTCACCATCTTTTTTTTTTTCTTTTCCCCTCCTCTTTAATGGAGGTCGGGTTAACCCTCTGCAGGCCTAATCGTTTTAGCAGGCTCGGGCCTTCGTATTTCCGCACCCCCCCCCCCCCCCGCCCCCACCCCCAGTTTGGCAAGTAGGATTTCAAGTAACCTTAAATGTCTGCACCTAGTACTTTCACAACCTTCAAATTTTATCTTTTTTTGTTTTATAATGGACAACAAAACGCGAAGGCTAAGAGTTACTTAGTTTAGAAAAAGAAACAAACCTTCGGTTTTGTGCGTAAACGGTGTAAAATGCATTCTATAGATTTTTTTCTGTTTATAGATTAAACGTTACGGTTACCATACTTATCTTCAATAACAGGCTTTCTTATCAGTTTTAAGATGGGTTCAGTAAGGACCCCATTCTTCTCTCCTTTTGACTCTTCTTGTCACTGAACGGCAACCGTAAAAGGCTTACTAACCCTCGAGAGCCGGTTCGCTCCACTTTTCTCCACACTCCCTGTGTCCTCAGCACTGGTACCCGCGCCCCGCTGCTCATCCTGCCCGTGGGGCCAGCCACGTAGACTCGGCGTCGGGGACAGGATGTAAACGCCGAGTACAGTCAGCGGGCCATGCAGGCGCATCCGTGCCGCCGGCGCGGGTGTACACAGCCTAAGCCGGGCTGCTTTTATCTGCACAGCATTAAGCCTCCTCGCAGGCTAGCCCGGGCAGAGTACTCTTGCAGAGGATGCGCTGGCGCCGTGCCTGGAGTTGCTGGGGCGGGAAGGAGGAGCTAGGGCTGGGGGGGCGGGGCTTTCACACGCGCACCCCTGGTTTCCTCCTTCCCCCGCCACTTGCTCCCCCTTCTCCGGCTGCCACTCCGGGGTTTATTTGTTTACAAGCGGATTACGTCAGCTCCTCCCTCTCTTCCCAGTCTATGGACCGGCCCCCCTGGCCCCTTTTTCCCGCCCCCTCCGACTCCGAATCTGCTTGCGTCACAATGGTGCGATCTCTGGATTGGCTGGAGACGGCCGTCACGCTCCAGCTACGCCACTTCCTTTCCGCGGCTCTATAAAAAGTGCTGCACCACCCCTTTATCTCTTAGCCCGTCGGAGCTGGAAATGCAACTGTTGGGGGCTTCGGAGGCTGCGGAGCTGGAGGCGGAGGCGGCTGGGGAGGTCCGAGCGATGTGACCAGGCCGCCGTCGCTCGTCTCTTCCTCTTTCCTGCCGCCTCCTGTGTCGAAAATAACTTTTTTTTTACTATAAAGAAAGGAGAAAAAAAGTAGCCGTACGCCGCTCACGCCCTCTCTCCCTCTTAATCCTCTGACTTGTGAGGGAGCCCGGGGTGGCCGCTCCTCCGTCGGGGCCGCGCCGCCGAGCCCCGGCCGCCCCGGGCCGCCCCCGCCCGCCGCCCCCATGCATCCCTTCTACAGTCGGGCCGCCACCATGATAGGCGAGATCGCCGCCGCCGTATCCTTCATCTCTAAGTTCCTCCGCACCAAGGGGCTCACGAGCGAGCGACAACTGCAGACCTTCAGCCAGAGCCTGCAGGAGCTGTTGGCAGGTGAGCGGGCCGTGGTGGCAGGAGGGCGAGGAACGCCGAGGCGGGGGAACGCGGCCGCACTTGCCGGAGTCGGGCCGTCGGGGCCGCGGGAGTCTCCGCAGCGCCCCGGGCGACCGCTCTCGAGTCCGGCCGCGGGACGGTGGCTGGCGCGCCGGGCGGCCGCTAACGGCGGGTCCCAAGGAGGGTTTGGGGGTTGGGTCGAGGGCGCTCCCTGGCCCCCCGCGGTTGGCCAACGTGGGGGAGAAGAAAACTGACGCACAACAAAGAAACTAAAGCCGACCGAGGCGGGAGCTGCGGTCCTCGGACGTTCCGCGGATTTGGGGGGACAAAGGAGCGCGGGGCTGGGGTGGGCTCGACGCCCCTTCCCCCCACTTCTGTCCAGCCGTTGCGGGCTCGGCTGTCCGGCCCGGGGGGTAAAACGGCGTGGCTGCCCCGAAGCCCGCCCGGGACGGACGTGCGGTCTCCCCGCGCCTCCTAGCCCTGCCCATTAATCATCGGATTTGTCACCGGCACAATTACAGCCCTGCCCAGAGCGGGGTTTAGGGTGGCTGGTTTTCCTTCCCTTCGGGGTTAACACTCCGGTGGCGCTTCTCCTCCGAAGTCATAAACCCCATTGTGTGCGGCCAGGGTTGGGTGGAGAAAGTAAACAGGTTCCCGCCTGGCCGCCGGTGCCGTCCGGCTGGCGCAGGCTGCGCGCCCGATTCCCGTTTTGGCGGCTCAGCCGGTTGGTTCCCGGAGATTGTTTTGTCCCGTGCAACTGTTATTTCTAAAACCCTGCCCTGCTCGTTTTCCATCCACGCACATCGGCGAATGCGATGCTGGGCTTTTTTAAAAAAGTTGATACTCGGCATTTTCACTCAAAGGAGCCAACGGAAGGAGACTTAAGGCGGGAGCACAGTAACGGCGTCTAAGCATTGTTTTCTCTCTTCTTTTCTTCTATAGAACATTATAAACATCACTGGTTCCCAGAGAAGCCCTGCAAGGGATCAGGTTACCGTTGTATTCGCATCAACCATAAAATGGATCCTCTGATTGGACAGGCAGCGCAGCGGATTGGACTGAGCAGTCAGGAGCTGTTCAGGCTTCTCCCAAGTGAACTCACGCTCTGGGTTGACCCGTACGAAGTGTCCTACAGAATTGGCGAGGATGGCTCCATCTGTGTGCTGTACGAAGCCTCACCAGCAGGAGGTAGCACCCAAAACAGCACCAACGTGCAAATGGTAGACAGCAGAATCAGCTGTAAGGAGGAACTTCTCTTGGGCAGAACAAGCCCTTCCAAAAACTACAATATGATGACTGTATCAGGTTAAGATATAGTCTATGGATGGATCATCTTATAATGGATGGATAAATTTGATTTTTGCTTTGGGTGGGCTCCCCTTGGGGATGGATTATGGAATTTAAACCGTGTCACAGCTGTGAAGATCTGGCACAAGATAGAGTGGTAAAAAAAAATTTTTTTTAAGTGACAGTGCCATAGTTTGGACAGTACCTTTCAATGATTTTAATAGCCTGTGAGTCCAAGTAAATGATCATCTTATTTGCTAGGAGTGAAGTCCTAGGATGGTTTCAGTTTCTCCCAGACATGATACCTAAATTTTTACGTCAGTCCCTTTAATGCAAATCTGTATTTCTCTGCAGTAGAACTTGCAGAGAAAATTTGCACTATTACACTTAAAAGTTGTTATCCTTTTTGGCAGCTCAATAGGAAAGCTCAACATTTTAAACATGGTAGTACTGGAAATTTTATGACAAGACTTTTACCTAGCACTTAAATATGTATAAATGTATATAAGACAAACTAGTAAGCATGACCTGGGGAAATGGTCAGACCTTGTATTGTGTTTTTGGCCTTGAAAGTAGCAAGTGACCAGAATCTGCCTTGGCAACAGGCTTTAAAAAAAAAAAAAAAAGACCCTTAAAAAGACACTGTCTCAACTGTGGTGGTAGCACCAGCCAGCTCTCTGTACATTTGCTAGCTTGTAGTTTTCTAAGACTGAGTAAACTTCTTATTTTTAGAAAGTGGAGGTCTGGTTTGTAACTCTCCTTGTACTTAATTGGGTAAAAGTCTTTTCCACAAACCACCATCTATTTTGTGAACTTTGTTAGTCATCTTTTATTTGGTAAATTATGAACTGGTGTAAATTTGTACAGTTCATGTATATTGATTGTGGCAAAGTTGTACAGATTTCTATATTTTGGATGAGAAATTTTTCTTCTCTCTATAATAAATTGTTTCTTATCTTGGCATTTTAATCAATCTCTTGTCATGATTATAGAGGTTCAGCTAAAAGAAATACATTTCTCAAAAGACTTAGGTTCTGTAAGCCATGTGAATGTCAGTTGCACATTGGTCATGCTGAAAAACATTTGTTAAGGAGTAAAGATGATTTTTGTATACAAATTTAGGTGTTAGAGGGGGTAACATACTTTTCTAAAAGTTCTAAAGTTGAAACATTGGACACAGTCCCAAGCTAATCGCATGAAATGAGGATGAGACAAAGGTAACATCAACCAAAAAAACTTACTCAAAGGATTACATTTCACTGCTTCCCTGTTGAAGTGAAGAGATAAACGTTCCATTCTGGCCCACCTTTGAAAAAGTTATTTTGCCCCATGGATTCCTTGTTCATTTAGAAAATCCTGGGGCAGGTGACCCAGTCTTAAAGACCAGACTAATCACTGCAGAGATTGGTTGCTTTTTGCCTTTCGTCAGCTGCAAGATTTACATAAAAAATCACTTAAGCTGGAATTCAACAAAAGGTATGTTTGAATTTTTATTCTCAAGTTGAAATGCTGAGTTCTTGCATCATTTTCAGACTTCAGATAAATACTAAGAACCTAAATGAAACAAATGAACACCTCGTGCTGGAGTGTAGATTGCTTCACTAACCCAAATGATAAAGCTTTTATTTTTTTTTAAAGCTGTTTTATAATTCTTTGGCTTTAGGAAGAATAATATGGTTTTTCAGTACAAGTTGAAAATGAAAAATTTCTAAGTTTTTCTCTACGCAAGTATGTTACTAACATCGTGTCTTTTGGGTGGTATTCATGTAAACATGCTCAAACTGGAAATACACAATCTAGGTTATTTGGGAACCGGTAGTCCGAAATAAGTTTTGAGTTTTATTTCTCCCAGTACATTCTGGTTTTTGTAGCAATAAAGGTATACGGGTTAAACAAGCAGGTATTTAGAATACAAAGGGTGTTTGTGTACTTTACCAGCAGGCTCTCCTTGAGAGTTTGAATTACAACCATAACACATGGACTACCCTTGCCACTTACTAATGGTGTTATTTTTCAGTCTGTTCTTAGGAATTCTATCCCCACCCCCTCTAGTTTTGCAAACAGATTTACAATAAAATAGCTGGTAGTATGGTTTTTACACAGATCTTACCCCAGTGCTGACTGCTGCTGTTTACCAACTACATTTCATCTGGTAACTCATTTGAAGCTGTGTGTGCCTGTGCTCAGAAGCTAGTAACTGGTAAAGCTTTACACACTAGGACTGGGGCAGTTGAGGGGGATATATTTTACCTGAAACTTCTGTCAAGCCTTTTCTCAGATGGGGAGTCATTCTTGAAGATACTGACATCAGACTTTTTGGTACTTTAAAGAAATTTGATGCCAGGAGAACTTAATGAAAACAATTCAGGTGATACCTGGCATATAAGGAACTGGTAAAAGTTCCTCTTTAAAAGGCTTGCAAACATCACTAAGACCTATCATCCAGCTGTTTCCTGTGACTTTAACCTTAACATTCCCCAGACAATTGTCTCCAGTTTAGTAACTATTTAATACACTTTTTCATTGCATCTGAGAATGTTGTACGGAGACATTTTGATAAAAGCATTTGAGTCTCTTGTAAGTGTGTACAGGTGTGTGTCAGGCCTATACACGTAGACATTTGTAACAGTGTGTGTGTACTTTTTTAAAAAAACTTTAATTGTGATAGAATTTTAAAGGGCATTTTACACTGCTTGAGTTAAGATGGGGATCCTTTCTTAAAAGGATCTGCTTTTTTTCTCTTTAACTGCTTTCAATATTGTTAGTTGCCACTGGCCCCAAGATTCATATTTATTGGCACTAAGTTTAGAAATAATTACTTTGAATTTAACAGGTAGTTTTAAAATTGCTTTCTTTTCTTCAAATGTAAATACTGCCTTGCTCTATAATGCAAGAATGAAGAAGCTTCACCCTTGCTCTATAATGCAAGAATGAAGAAGGTTTAAAGTGGATTGTATGGAGAGAGTTACCCTAGTTCCTGCAGGATAATGGGGCTGTTTGCTTTCCCCCTGCATCTGGAATGACAGTCACATGTTAATCACTCTTAATTTCCAATATTTTTGTAATGATAGACTGGGTAGGCCACTAGAAAATTGCTTTCTGGTACAATTGCACAAATGATTTCTCCCGCATTGTAGGCAGACACTTTCACCATCTGAGCCACCAGGGAAGTCCTTCCTTGAGTCACTATAACTCAAATTGCAAGTAATGTTGTTTTGTATAGGTGTTACACATCACAGGATTGGCCTTCAAATTAAAAAGAAGTAATATTCCTGACTATTCTTGAGTTTCATGACCAAAGGTTTCAAGCTTCCTTTAATCTTAGGAACAAATAAATCTATTATTGACATTTTCTTTGGCGATTTTTAACATATTTGATACTGTCCTTCCTCTTTGCAGAAAAAAAATAAGGTAACTGCAACAGTCGTCTTTGGTCTATTGAAGTTTAAAGATACTGCCTCTCCCCTTTGCATCCTTATTTCAGGCGATATGATAAGAGTCTATTGATAAGCTTTGTGGGGAGATTTTGTCCATAATTACATATACATATATATACTTCAAAAAGTGTATTTTGGATTGTCTGAAATGCTGGATTTTGTACTTACCTGAAGGTATGCAAATAGTTTAGTCTCGTCTCTCAGTCTCTGCCATCAAACTTTTGTATATGACTGCTGCCAAAAGTATAGCAATTGTTTATTTTTCATGTTTGAAACCTAACAGTTTGAAAAAAATCTTTTGTAGTGAAATGGTTAGTAGTTTGTGCTACTAACCAAATCAAAACCAAGCTGCTTCAACTGAGTCCTTAGGTCATTTACATGAATACAAAGGTGCCAGAGGAATTCGTGGGTTGAATTATTTCTTGTTATTTCTGTAAATCTCTGTTTTCTTCTGAAAGTGAAGGAAAATCATTAAGCTAGATGTTAAGTTTGGTAATTTTGAGATGCTCCTGAGCAAGTAAGCCTTAGATTGTATCAGTAGTGAGGGCTGACTCCATTTCCTCAACAATTTGTGGAGCATAATTGACAGTTATTTTGACTGCCATCTTGACTTGACGTACCAGTTTTTTTTGGGCATTGATCAGTGCGTCAAACAGGAGTGGAAAAACGGTAAGGCTTCCGTCATAGGATACTCAGTTTTCTTTTTTTTTTTCCTTAATGCTTTGTCATCTCATAGTTGAATAATCTTTTAGGGAACATTTGGGAGTTCAATTTCTGACTTTTATGAGTCTCTTCATGTTAATTTGTCGTTTTAGTGGGGACGATGCAGTGATCTTTTGGGAATTCTGTAATTATAGATTATTAATACTGAGAGAAGCACTGATTCAAGTCCAGGGTTGGATACAAAGGGAAAGGATGGAGAAAATGAAAAGTAGGAAACTTAGCTGAAATGGAGGAATTTCAAGGTTTAGTAATAAAAATGAATTTGCTGTGGTCGTAGATGTTCATCAAAAGAGGTTTATGCACCTTGGTCTTTGGCAGACAGTTTGGGAAATACTACTGTAGGGATTCTGTAACTCATGAATCTAGGACAAAGTCTACATTCAGTTTGTTTGCGAACAAGCGGGTCAAAGTGGTAGTGAGGTTTATGACCCATATTAAGTGGAGACTGAGCTTGGGGTAAGAGTGATGAGAAGCATAAAGCACATTCCTACAGGCATTTTTAAAGAAGTTCAAATATAGTGCTCAATGCCTTTGTCTCAGTGTTTTATAAAGGGAAAAGATTTAAGCTGTCTTAGAGACTTGGATGATGATAGCCTCGTTCCTGGTACCTTTAAGTTGTGAAGGCATTTGTGACTGCATTCCTGATGATAGAAGGATAATTGAGTGTAGGCCAGACACCTATCGTCATAATAGGGGCCACAAAATGGAGAAAAACTGTCATTAACTGCATTCCTGTGTTTGGAGAATATTACATCAAACACTAATTATTTCAAACTGTACATTGATAAAGACATATTTACTCATGGGTATACTTTAGTAATTAGATAGGTCATCCCCAAAGTTATGTCATTCTTTTAAAATAT